CTTCTAGTTGTGAGTAGCTATGAGTAGAATGGTGAACCTTAAATAATGTTTATAGAGTATTCCAGCTATAAGTAGAAATATGTGAAGGCTTCCCAAAGCCCTATAAATAGAGGTCCTCACCTCTACTTTGTACCAGACTATGTACCCCCTACCTATAATAGAACTTGTTGTTCTTATCTAAGATCTTGGAGTAGATCTTGTGCCCTAGGAGTTCTGGATTGAACTCTTGCTGCCCTATCAGCCTACATTCGCCTCTAGAGTGATATCTAGCGCAACACGTTGAAGCTGTTCCTTCAACACTTGTGTTGTACACATTGTAGCAGCAAGGTGGAGTTGCTCCTCCACAACCTTTGTGCTGCTTCAATGTTTGTACCTCCGATGGAGCGCCCAGAGCGGTAACGCGCGCGCAAAAGCCACTAATTTTTTAACGCGGCGCTTATATAGCGCGTTTGTTGAACATGCTCTAATAGTGTGATTGTTGTGTGTTTCAATGTGGATGTTATGCCCTACCAAACCAATTGGCCTCCGGATCACCCCTCGCGGCGATGGATGGCTATATCACACGATGCAAGACAGGAGTCGTTGCGTGCCAGATATTATGATGAACGTTTGCTCGACATTTCCCCCCAAAAAAGTTAATTGGACTCAGCAATTCTAAAGTAAAAAAGGCGCATGAAAATGATGTGTAGGAAAAATTGAGGTTTTAATGCTACCTATCAAATAATCTCTCTAACAACATGGATGACCTAGGCCATCTATATATATCTTTTTGTAAGCTGCCGTACGGGATAAGTTGATCAGTTATAAATCATATTTTTCATTCTTAAGAATCCAAAGTCAGATTTATAGCAAATTATTTTATCCGCCGCAAAATATATAAAAGCACACACAAAAAAAAATGCCAATTCTGAACTTATCGAACAAGAAGAGGAGAAGTTGCTTCCCCACGTCTCCCCAGTGAAAGGTCCCAGCCCACAACTCCCAAGCAGCGAAAGGAAGGAAGGAGCCATATCCCCATCTCCCACCGACCATTGACATTCGCGCCCGGCCGCCGTCGG